GGGGGGGGGTGGGTGGCTTAAATAGGGTCTATTTGGAAGCTGGGACTCGGGTTTTCTTATAGCCATACACGTTTCCACGAGGGTACGCTGCTGTCACGTCAGTCGTACTATGGAGGCCTCAGGAACAAGAACCAGGTAGTTCCTCTTTTCTCTTCTCTTTTTCTCCTCAATCCTAAAGTCGAAGGCTCTCGTGAGGAGAAGAGAAGGGAGAGAAGGAGGGAAAGATAAGAGGAACACGATTTTCATGGGAAGAGCCAAGAAAAGAATAGAAGAGAGATAAAACAAGGCGCAAAGAAGATGGTACTCTTCTTTATCTATCCTCTCTCCCTTATCTCTCCGTTCCCTCTGTCTTTTCGAAATGAGAAAAACAAAAAGAAAGATGAAAAGAAGAAGGGTTAGGAAAAGAGCCGAAGAGATAGGCCGAAAAGAGGGGTATGGTGAAGTACGGCAAAGGTCCACGCACAAGGAGTCACCTTCTGCTTACCCTTCCACTGCTTGATTTTACAAGCTCCTTTCTTGTGTTTTATCAGTTAAAATTAAAAGGAAACAGAAGGAGAGAAGGGAAAGGGAAGTGAGAGAGGAGAGACAACAAGGAGGCCATTTTAATTTCCTGTGAGTTATCAAAAGGAATGCAATATTATGGGAAGAGCAATGGAAAAAAAGAGTGGAAGAGAAATTAAGACAGGAGAGGGAGGTGCAAAAATAAGGCAAAGAGAAGATGGTGCCGTTTTCATCTCACCTCTCGTTCTTATCTTCCTCTTCTCTGGTTCTTTTCCCTGTGAAATAAAAAACAAAAGGAAGGACAATGAACATATAAAGGAACCCGTTTTCGTTTTCCGTTTGGGCACAAGGAAAAAAAACAGAGGCGATAGGGCGAGAGGAGGGGTTTGCTGAAGCATGGGGAGGGTGTACGGGCAAGGGGCCAACTCCGCCCACTTCCCCCATCCATTGAAAGAGGAAAAGGAAGGGCCTCCATTCCCCTCTTATTCTTCCTTTCTTGCGTTTTTGTCGTTTAGAAGGGAACAGGAGAAGAGGAGGGAGAGAGAAGGAGAGAGGAGACATAAAAAGGGTTGCATTTTTAATGGGAAGAGCAAAGAAAAGACCAGAAGAGAGATGATGGGAGAAGAGGGGGAGACAAAACAAGGCGCACAGAAAATGGGCAGATAAGAAGAGAGGAAAGGGAATGACCAAGTACAATGAGGAGTTCTTCAATTTCCCTCCCTATCTCTTATGTTACTTTTCCTTCTTGTGGGGTGTCCCTTTTTCTCTTGATTTTTCTCTTGAAGATGCAGAAAACGATTGAAAAGGACACCCGTTCCATCGCCCATATGTAGGGAAAGAGAGAGAATCATGAGCATCAGCTGGGCTTGCTGCCAATCCAACATGGGCGTCCCTTTTAATCGCATTCTGTGTCCTTTTTTCTCTCTTGAAGATGCAGAAAACGATCCAAAAGCACATCTGTTGGAGGAAGAGAGAAGGAGAGAGGAGAGATACCAAGGATTGCATATTTAATGGGAAGAGAAAGGAAGAGAATAGAAGACAGATGAATAGAGAAGATGGCGCTCTTCTTTATCTATTCTCTCTCCCTTGTTTCTCCCTTCCCTCTTTCTTTTCGAAATGAGAAAAACAAAAAGGAAGAACTATGAGAAGGAGAAGAGGAAGGAAAGGAACAGAAGAGATAGGCCGAGAGGATGAATATGATGGAGTATTATGGAAAGGCTCACGCGCAAGGAGTCACCCTCTGCTTACCTTTTCACTGCTTTATCATATGAGTTCCTTTCTCGTGTTTTATCAGTTAAAAGGAAGCGGAAGAAGAGAAGGGAAAGGGAAGTGAGAGAGGAAAGATAACAAGGATGCTATGTTTCCCGAAGCGTGCTGCAAGGAATAGAAGAGACAGGAAGCAAGGAGACGTAATCACAAAATAAGGCGCAAAGCTGTACATATCATCTCTCCCTTGTCTCTCCCTATTCCCTTTCGAACTAGAAAAAACCATTCTTGCTTTTCACAGATAGGTTCCCTCTCTCCTCTTCAGGAAATCCCCTTTCCCTTATGTTGCTTTTTGAAGCGAATAAGAAAAATAGCAGATAAGAAGAGAGGAAAGGGTCAATTTCCCTCCCTATCTCTTATGTTGCTTTTCCTTCTTGTGGGGTGTCCCTGTTTCTCTTGAAGACGCAGAAAACGATTGAAAAGGACACCCGTTCCATCGCCCATGTGTAGGGAAAGAGAGAGAATCATGAGCATCAGCTGGGCTTGCTGCCAATCCAACATGGGCGTCCCTTTTAATCGCAGTCTGTGTCCTTTTTTCTCGCTTGAAGATGCAGAAAACGATCCAAAAGCACATCTGTTGGAGGAAGAGAGAAGGAGAGAGGAGAGATACCAAGGATTGCATATTTAATGGGAAGAGCAAGGAAGAGAATAGAAGACAGATGAATAGAGAAGAGGGAGAGACAAAACAAGGCGCAGAGAAGACGGCACTCTTCTTTATCTATTCTCTCTCCCTTGTTTCTCCCTTCCCTCTTTCTTTT